CCTGCGGTCCGGCCAGTGAGACGACAGCGTACAAGGGCTCCGAAGGCTGGATCGACACCTCCGTGTGGCCCACCCCTGGCGACAGCCATAGAAGCGCGTCCGTAAGTACCCAAAAATCGACGGCGCAGTTGCGGTCGACTGTGTAGTAGTGCGCGAAGGTAGGGAGACGCACCGAGGAAAAGGCCGTTCTTGGTGTAGAAGACCTCCGAGGTGACGTCGTTGAAGCCACAGCCGATGACGTCGCCCGTGTTGAAGTACAACTCGGAGCCGTCGTCCCCCTCGTCGACTATGTGTGCACGCCACGCAGCCGACAGCGATTGAGCTCAACGAAACCTACTGATCGAGTGGAGCGGAAACGGAGAGGAGGCGCCGTACATGACTCGGCATTGGCCGGGTAGAGGGAGCTCTTGCCGTGGGTCCACTTGTTCCCGTCGCCGTGCCAACCGTACGACCTGCGCCGAAGCCAATTCCCAAGCCATGCGCGCGACAGTCAGCCTGACGGAGGTGGGTGCGCGCGAGTGCGCACAGTTCTAAAGAGACTCTAAAAAAGGGGGTACGGACCCGAGCACAGAACCGGGCTTGGCCGTGGCAGGATGGTTCTTGGCACCCAAACCGACTGCAATCGACCTGCAGACAATAATAATAAACAAGTAGTATAATTAATAAATGAAAATAAAAATATTAACATAAATAATAATGATAATAAAATAATACACAACAGCAAAGACTGAAAGGGGCCATACCCGTAGTAGCCACGATTCACGATTAGGATCTCGAAATAGGGCCAGGGACTGGTGTGGCTCACCGGCGAAGAGGCGGCCTCCTTTGCGCCAAGGCTGAGCTCGGCAGAGCCGGCATCGGCGACGCCCGTCGCTGTCGTCGCCGTCGTGGTAGTGGCACTCGCCAGGGGCCTGGCGCTGATCGTACTCCCCACCTTGCCAAACACGCGCTAACAGAGAGATGGCGTCGGCATGTGCGTGCGTGCGTGCGTGCGTGCGTGCGTGCGTGCGTGCGTGCGTGCGTGCGTGCGTGCGTGGACAGAAGATGGACAGAGGACGTGTGCGTACGGGCCAGTAGGAAACGGTCTGCTTGTCGGCCTGGATGGTGAGCGAACTGGCCGCGGCCACCGCGCCTTTGGCCTGCGCCCACCCGCTGGGGCCATTGTCGTCGTCACCCTTAACCCCGCTCAGCTCGATGTCGTCATCGTGGCCGGTGACCAAAATGTTTTCCTGTGCGTTGTGTTGCGCAGCCGGCAAGTGAGTACAAACACGCGATGCGTGCGTGCGTGTGCGTGTGCGTGTGCGTGTGCGTGTGCGTGTGCGTTCCCTGTACGCACCTGCAAGTAGGAGAGCAGCGACTCACCGTGCGGTACAAACTCCGGGTGTACGATGCCCCAGTAGTTCACAAAGGCCTGCAGTTGCTTCTCGCCGTAGATCCGGCCCGCCAGCGAGTCCTTCTTCGCTTCGCCCTCCTCGCCTTCGTCGCCATCTTGCCGCTGCTGCTGCGAGCCCTCCTTCTTCGTCGTCGGTGGTGCCAGCATG